CGCTCTGATAACTCTGTGACGATATATATGCGGCGGACGATATATATATCATATATTGTCACACTGGAAATCGGAGCGCAAAGGCGGAAAAAGACAGAACAAGAAAAAGAAAAAGAAGCAAGGAAGGAAAGCCCCATATATATACACCTATATGCGGCGGCCCCGTGAAGGACGGAAGGATGTCAGACAATGCAAGCAAGCAACCCCCCCTCGGTTCTTTTTACGTCTCTCCCTTTAGAAAATGCAAACACAATAATAATACCAGGGGTAAGACCTGTCTCTTATACACATCTAGATGTGTATAAGAGACAGATATACACCTATATGCGGCGGCCCCGTGAAGGACGGAAGGATGTCAGACAATGCAAGCAAGCAACCCCCCCTCGGTTCTTTTTACGTCTCTCCCTTTAGAAAATGCAAACACAATAATAATACCAGGGGTAAGACCCCACTACCCTGGATTATTCATTTTTCACCCTCGATTACGAAGATCAACGGTCAGAAATGAACAAGGGGCTAGTGGGATCTGGCCCCAATTCTTCTAATAGCACTGCGATCCATTCATCCATTTTTTTTCCGCACGAAATATACGTCATGGGGTCGCGCTCCACTCCGGAACATTCTACATGTATCTGGATCGGTTAATGGTCCCAAGACATCGGAAACGCCAGGTCAATCATGATGCAGCGAGGCCCATAATGCGCAGGAAACAACCAATCTGGCACGCCTTCGTACGCTGTGAATATGCTCAAATGAAACATACTGTATTAGGGTGTTCCCCTTCGACACCAAAAAAAAAAAAAGGCAGTCAAAACACCAAACAAATGAAATCGCCTCCGAGTACCCAACACCTGCCAATTGTAATCAATCATTACGGCATTCAAACATGACCATTATCGAGGTAATCTCGCATCCTGACGTGCAGAGCGCAGAAGCGCTCTCACACCACTCAAGCGCCTCCACGAAGACACTAATGTGACCGCAGGGCTTCTGCGCGTTTTTCCGCATCCTCCCCAGTATGTCCCTGCGGCAAGAGAAGGGGGACGATTTACATTCCGTGCACGCTGCACAGCGTTGTCACCTCCAACATGTTACCTTGCTGTCGAAGGAAACCAACAAAAGAGACAAGGGGGAAGAAATACATTCCGTGCATGCATGCACAGCGCTGCTCGTTTGTCACCTTCAACATCTTACCTTGCTGTGGAAGCATCCCAGGAAAAGACAAGGGGGAAGAACTACACTTAGTGCACCCAGAGCATTCTTCGTCGTTACCTTGTTGTCGAAGCATAGATAGGCTCTCAGATATCCAGAAAACAAGAAAGAATCCCAGAACATTTTCGATCTGACCTACATGGGATACCCATCATAATTCAGAACGCAGAACAAAAAGAAGAAAGGAACGTTCCGACTAACAGATAAACTCAACTGCAATGAAAAATGTTCTTCCATGAATCCCGGAATGACTCGACTACTGCACTGCAATCCATTCTTTGCATGAAATTTGTACATCACGCGGGGTATTACGTTATGGACCACAATCACAATCAGACCCCTCGAAATCGCGTATCTAACCGTAATCACAGACAGATTCAGTCGCGAGAGAGAATCCTGGCCCGAGAATTCCATTCGTCGGAAGATACCGTGTGTCATTTCCCTTCGTCGGAAGATACCGCGTGTCATTTGTCCGTTTGACATCACAATTCTCAAAAGAACCCCTCCATGGACTGATACCGCGTGTCATTTGTCCGCTCGATCGGAAGATACTGCGTGTCATTTGTCCGCTCGATCGAACGGACTACCAAACCAAAGGACCGATCGAGCGGACGACCAAACCAAAGCACCGATCGAGCGGACGACCAAACGAAAGAACCGATGGAGCGGACGACCAAACGAACAAACGAACGGACCGATCCAGCGGACGACTACGCGAAAGGACCGATCCAGCGGAAACGACAAACCGAAAGGACCGATAAAGCGGACAACCAAACGAGACGACTGATCGAGGGAAGCCTCGTGAGACATGAGAGCGAGCATAGCTTACGCTCCCGTCTGGGTGGAAAAATCGTAAAGGTATACCGTGTAGATGATCGGAATTATTCTTTTTTTTCCCTTGTAATGCTTACGATCCAGGGCCGCCAAGGCGATGATCACAATTCCATCACTCAGTCATGATGAGGACACCAACCTGGAATCCCAGTAAGCCGACGACGTCCATTGAGAAGAGCCCGAACACAAAAAAAAGACCAAAGGCGATGATCGGAATTATTCTTTTTTTGTTGCTTATTATGCTCAAGGTCCGAAGCACCCAAGGCGATGATCGGAATTATTCTTTTTTTTCCCTTGTAATGCTTACGATCCAGGGCCGCCAAGGCGATGATCACAATTACATCACTCAGTCATGATGAGGACACCAACCTGGAATCCCAGTAAGCCGACGACGTCCATTGAGAAGAGCCCGAACACAAAAAAAAGACGACGTCAAACCTCCACAGAAAAGACGGTCAATCCATTCCGAGACATCTTTAGAGAAGATAAGATTGCTAAGGGACTGTGTGGGGCATCGAAACCTCCACAGAAAATTCTCAGGTGCAATCCGATAAAAAAACAAGCAACAAACAACAAACAACAACGTTCTCAGGTGCAATCTTCCAAGGGCTTTACACGCCTACGATAAACTATTGGGGCGTTGCCCACGAAAACAACGAATTGGGGCGTTGCACCTCATCCTTCCATAATTGCCGATCACGGCCGATCCTTCCAACCACAACCTAGCTTACGGCCATCCATAGACAATCATGCGCCCAAGATGTCAAATGGTCGTTATTGGTATACCGTGTAGATACCCAATCTGTCACGACTCTCTCTCTCTCTCTCTCTCTCTCTCTCTCTCTCTCTCTCTCTCTCTCTCTCTCTCTCTCTCTCTCT